TTATCAAACAAATAATTGCAGTTAAAAATATTAGTGACAATTTTTTAATAAAACATATTTATTTTTTGTAAATTATGTTTAGATTTTAGATTTAAAAAGAAATTTGTAAAGGAATTTTCTTTCCACCTCCATAAATCTCTTTCAAAATTCGAATTTCTTCTAATTTATTCACTTTTTTTTTTCCTTTTCAATTTCTTCAAACATTCCTTCCCAAATTCAAGATTCAAAAACAACTAATCCATTATTGAGAGTATTCCTCTTGTCAATTATTAAATTTGGAAATTGAGATGAAAAGTAATTTATTCTCCTAATAAAAGTCATTTATTCACATCTCACACTTCTATTAACAAATAAATCATTTGGTTATAACTCATCCTTTTCTTTAATTACTTTACAAATTTACTCCAACTAGAAATATTCAAATATATGAAGAGAATGATAACATGAGGTAAGGAGCATACGCTATTTATATATCACATTTTTTAAAATCATTTTATAACATTGAGGCACATGATAATATATTACTTGTTTTTATTTTATTTTTAGTGATTATTTTTAAGTAGAGGACCAATTATGAATATCCACGTAACCGTAAAAAATGGATGACATATAACACTTATATTTATAATACAACTTCTATGAATTATTTTTTTTCCACCGTTCTATATTAATTGAAGATTTGTGATTTTAGAATCAATGAATAAGACATGGTGATAAATTTTCACCAACCAATCCATGAGACTTTTAACACCATATTTAGATATTAGATTTGTGAACCAAAAAAAGAAGAAAAAAAGAAAAAGAAAAAAAGGGACATAGAAAAAATAAATAAATAAAGGAAGCTAAATTTACTTATTTATTTTGTTGAGTTAGAAAAATGAAATGCAAATGGACATTTATTTATCAACAAAACTGATGTTCTTCTTTGGTTACTCGCATTTAAATGATATTGTACCAATAATTTCGCTTCTCTTTCATTTTCTTGTTTACTAAACAAAAACTCATAAACAAAGATATAAAATTCTTAATCTCCAAATCATTCTATTTCTCGTCTTAAAACACTCACAACCCTTACATTATATCTCAAGATTCCGTACCTTAAGATCTTTATATTATCCAATAATTATGAGTGTTTGAGAACAAGAGATAAAAAATTTTAAGAACATAAGATCATTGATCATAAACAAGTATTTCTAGATAGAACAATGCAATGCCCTAACTTCAAAGCACCCGATCTGCTTGTAAAAGGAGCCCTTGGTATGGCTGATACCAGTACATGTTTAGTAGCTGCACCCTCTGTTTTGGCTACAACTTTAGAAAGTGATTTATGGGGGCTTGGCTCCTCTCGTAGAGTTATTCTGTAATTTTGGCTTTGGCCCAGAGTGTACCAAAAAAAAAAAAAAAAACTTCAAAGTAAAACAAGTATTTCCAGATAGAACAATTAATGCAGTGCCCTAACTTCAAAGGCACCCATTGGAGAGAAAGTTTTTTGACCATTTTGGCCAAATATTATCATATTCTATTTCAATTTTCCAATAATGTTTACCAGATTAGCTAGCCAAGGCATAACTTGTATGTGATATTTTAAGCAAAAGGACAAATTACAGTAATAGTCCATATAGTTTGAGACTTGTGTCACTTTAATCCTTGACTTTTCAATTGTGGCACATTTGACCCTGAATTTTGAATCTTGTTCCAAATAAGAACAATTGAAGAAACTATTGTTTAATTTCAAGGGCAAAATCGTCAATTTAATAAAATATAAACTAACTTGATAAAAATAAATGTCAAAAAAATATTTTTAATTTTTTAAAAATTATTTTTATCCACCAATGATAAAATTATGTAAAATTGATAAAAATTAATAAAAATTACATGATTAATTTTTAAAAATTAATTTTACATGATCATCATCCAAACACATAATAAAAATTAATTTGGTAAAAAAAATAAATAAATGTCTAAAAGATTTATCAATTTTACATAATTTTATTTTTAGTGGGTAGAAATAATTTTTAAAAATTCAAAAATATTTGTTTGATATTTATTTTTGTCAAATTAGTTTATATTTTATCAAATTGACGACTTTACCCTTGAAAAATCTAATTATATCTTCAATTGTCCTTATTTGAAACAAGATTTAAAATTCAGGATCAAATATGTTACAATTGAAAGTCAAGGATCAAAGTAACACAAATCCCAAACTATAAGGACTATTAGTGTAATTCACCGGAAGCAAAATTTCAAATGAATTACTAGAATAATCAGAGCATATCCCAATAAGAATCAGACTACTACATACAACAAGTGACGGGCCCGAAAATCGAGGGGCACTTATTAATTAATATCAAAAATTTTTACAAAAATATTTTACGTAAATTTTTACGATTGATTTTAAAAAATATCATAAAAATAATGTTATTTATAATTATTGTATCATGGATAATATAAATATATATATATATATAAGTCAAAAAATATAGATATAAGTTTTAAAATAAATTATATAATAATAAATATTTTTTTAATATAAAATTTGATTAAATTCAATATAATAGTAATACCGCGTCATCATTATTATGTGATATCACCAACTAATAGTAAATAAATACATAGAGAGTAAGAGTGAACTTCACGTGTCAAATGTAACTAACAATCTAATAAATTTCATATCTTTATAGTGAAATTACTTATACATGCATGTCACTAACAATGACATCACCGTTACATTCAAAAATTTTCATAAAATTTTCATAGATTATAATAGTCTTTTCATTTTCAATCAAAATAATCATTATTATTCTCATAATTTTTAAAATGTCATTGATATTTTACTCTAACAATATTTTTGTAATTTTTTTTATTTAAAATATTTTCTTTATATTTAAAAAAAAAAAACCAGAGCCCAAAATCTAAAGAAAGCACGTGACCCCGTCCTCACTTCCCTCCGCCACTAACAACAAATCTAATTAAGGATTAACAACGACAATAATATATTTTTTTATTTTTTATTTTCGATAAATAACAACAATAATTAAGATTTCATGTTTGGAAGGCTTGACACAATAGGTGAAAACATCATGGTAAAAAATAGGTGAAAACATTGTAGTTAACAATAATAAATTTTGGATAAATTATGCTAACGGTCCTTATAATTTGAGACTCATGTCATTTTGGTCATTAACTTTTCAATTGTGACACATTTGACCTTGAATTTTGAATTTTGTTCTAAATAAGAACAATTGAAGATATCATTGCTCAATTTCAATGACAAAATCGTCAATGTAATAAAATATAAACTAATTTGACAAAAATAAATGTCAAAAAAATGTTTAAATTTTTAAAAATTATTTCTATACACTAAAGATAAAATTATATAAAATTGATATATCTTTTAGACATTTATTTATTTTACTAAATTAATTTTTATTATGTGTTGAATGATGATCATGTAATAGGTGATTGTTCTTATTTTCATCAAATTAGTTTTTATTTTTCTAATAGTCAAATATAGTGACAACTTTGATATAATTATTAAACCAATCCATTAAATTAAAAAATCCAAAACTAAAAAATTTCATATATTATATATATGGATTATACATTAAAATTCTAACAATCACCTATTACATAATCATCATCCAAACACATAATAAAAATTAATTTGGTAAAATAAATAAATAAATAAATATTTAAAAGATTTATCAATTTTACATAATTTTATCTTTTGTGGGTAAAAATAATTTTTAAAAATTTTAAAATATTTTTTTGATATTTATTTTTGTCAAATTAGTTTATATTTTATCAAATTGATGATTTTGCCCTTCAAATTAAGCTATAAAATTTTCAATTATTTTTATTTGAAATAAGATTCAAAATTCAGGATTAAATGTGTCACAATTGAAAAGTCAAGAACTAAAGTGACACGAATCTCAAACTATAGGGACTTTTAGTATAATTCACCCATAAATTTTTATTTTTATTTTTTATTTTTGTCCAGTTAAATGTAATCATAAATATTTAATGTATAATTAAAAATATTTAATTACATAGGGTGTTTGATTATCACATTCTCTAATGTAATACACCATGCATAAACATAAAAAATTTCTGAGGAGATTAAGAAAAAAAAAAAAAAACTTTAAAATAAACACAATTCATTTGGGGTTCAATCAGAACATAGTACTGTTTAGGTTATTTTATTTTTAATGAGGTCCGAATGTAATTATGCTTACAAGCTAAACATGTACCAGAGAGAGAGACATATCAAACCAACATGGCTTGAATTGAAAGTGTCATCTTTTCTTTGTTATGTATGTGGGCTGCAAATGCCGAGCCGAGCTTTGCAATGCTTGAGCTTGGCTCGTTAACACTAATCATGCTCAAAGTCAGTTTGAAGCTTGCTAATGAAGTAAACATACATATATATATATATATATATATTACAATACACATTTTCAAACTTTTCTTAACTAACCAACTCTCTGAGCAAAATATCTACAATTTGTAGTTTTGCTCCAAAATTTGTTAGTTTCATAAAATGTCAAATTTTAACTTGTTCGAAGCACTCGGGGGTGACAAACAGAGTTTTTATTACCATCACAACCACCAAATTGACAATCTTTAAACAAGATTTGGTACTTTGGGAATAATGTTCCGACTTTATAAAACAAAAATTGGAAAATAAATAAATAAATAAATTCACTAGTGTAGAGCCACTTCAAGCATCCTATCCATTATTAGATAAATAAAAGGTAGCTCAAATGGTTACATACTTGGTTAACTTTACTAAGAAATATCCTAGGTTAATCACTAATCTGAGGCTATGATTAAATATAGGTTCCACATTAGAGTTGGCACAACGAATGGCCATAGACTAAACAGGGGACCCAACTTGATACAGTGAGCTTGATATCGCATTTGCTAATCTTCCCCTATTTTGTACTTTAATAATAAGCCTTGACAAGTACAAAGCAAGAGAAACAACACGTTTAACAAAATTATTAAGTTTAAATACATGGAGCCATCTTCATAAAATCATTGACCAGGGACCTAACAACAATAAGAGTTACCACGAGATGAAGGTGACAACTGGGGGAATAATTTACACAGAAGATATCATTTTGACTAGAAATAACAAAACAAAAACTCTTTTCACACAAAGTCAATTAGAAATACAAAAAGAGGAACTCCAAGTGAAAGAATGCTGTGGATGTGAAGTCAAGTTCGCGTGCCTAAGAACATTTCATAAATTTTTTAAAACTAACATAATTGTAATTAGCATTGAAATACTTCATAATAGAACACACGTTTATAGAAGAGGTCTTTCAACATGCCTGCATATTGCCTGCTGACGTTTTCATGCTGACTGATCATGGTAACCTTTCGCTGAGGAAATTAATGACGTCACTGTGGCCTGCATTCAGTCATATGAAAACTTTAAGACTGCTACATCTCTTTGTTTTTAGAAAAATAAATAATATATTTTAGTCTAAAAGATTATTTTGTAGAGTTTCTTGGGACAATTGTACATTCTTGTAGAGAAATAGTGATAGCTTTTGAAGAATACTTGGTTTGCTACCCCGGTTTTTGGCATTTTTCTAATACAATTTACTTCTTTCTTTCTTTCTTTCGCAAGTGGAAAGCTTGGGAGCTACCATGTCCAGACAATTCAATTAATAGTTACACCCTATGAAGCACGGACACCTCTCCGAGGGCTCCGTACCAGTGTCGGACACGGACACGCGTCGGACACGCGGTTGACACGTGTCCGACACGCAGCAGAGAGTGTCCTTTTTTTAAAAAATTTTTAAACATCCGGACACGTTCCAGACACGTTATGGACACTTTTGGGACACGTTCGTGGGTAATTTCACAATTTGCAAGACTTTTTTGAGGGCGATTTGTAAATAAGTAAAACAGATATATGCCCTAACTCGTCGATTAGCACAGAATAGAAAGGGAGAACAGAAGACAGGGAAGAGAGGACCTGGTTGCTCGTCGTTCATCTGTACTCCTCGTCGGTCGTCACTCGTGTCTCGTCGTCGCCTGTCGTTAAGGTACCCACTGCTCTTCTTTATTCTTCTTCGTCGTCGATCTTCTTCCTCTTCTTCTTCGTTCTTCCTTTTCTCCGATCTACTAAGTCGCTGTCGTCTCTCTCTCTCTCTCTCTCTCTCTCGCACCCTCTCTCACCCTCTGTCTGATTTGTTTTCTTTTATTTTTTGAGTTATATAATGAGTTATATAACTCGTTATTTTGTTTTATACAATTGATCCGTCTCTCTCTCTCTCTCTCTCTCTCTCTCTCTCTTTTATTTTTTATTTTCTTTTTTCTCTTAGTTATAATTTTCTTTTATAGTTATTTTTTATTTGAGTACATAATTTTTTTTTGATTAGTTTTATTAATTTTAATAATGTATGTTTATGAATTTTATTATAAGAATCAATTTTTAATAATGTACGTTATTTGTGAATGATACATATGATGTTAAATTAATTAAATGTTTATTTTTTATAATTTTAATAGTGTTATTTTGTATATGTTATTACCTTTTAATGATTTTTTTTATAATTTTATGACATATAATAAAAAAAATTAAATATATATATTAACGTGTCCCCAGCGTGTTGTGTCCCCTATTTTTTAAAAATTTGCGTGTCCGCGTGTCCGTGTCGTGTCCGTGTCGTGTCCCGTGTCCGTGTCCGTGCTTCATAGGTTACACCTTAATTGCTGGTGACTTATTTTTAACACGGATAATGCATAAGTTAAACCATTAAATGATTGATGCATATCAGAAAAGTCAGTGACGAACCTTGATTTTGTATTGCATTTATTTGTGGTCCTATCATCTCTACTCCAACATCAGTGAGCAATGAAATCCCGGATGAAGTTATGTTGAAAGGGAATACCAGAGGAGGAGATATTGGAGATTTTGCCACCTTCATAAACCTCTCACCTGCAAGAGAAAAAGAATTCGTGATTTTCAGATTGGCAGAAATCTTAAAAGAAAATTGTAAGGAAAAATGCAATTGGCAATACACTATTATCTTATAGAAGGTTAGTCTACTCTCAAATTTGGAGCGTTGGGGGACTTAGAATTGGATGCATACAACTCAACTCAAAAAAGTCTACAGCCCCGTACACAGAGATGGGCTTCACTGACTTTACCCAATTGAGCAATATCAAAGGCCACATCCTCCGCAAATCAGTGCCCACTTATGGTCATTGCTGCGTAATAGTAGGAGTATCTTCAACTTTGATGCAATTCTTAAAAAAGCATTCATATGTCTTACTAGCTAACATGAGCAAACCAGCTCAAGATACTACTCCCTTATTTTGACTACAAAACTGTTCAAAATGTTTCTTTTCTGTTTTTTGCCCTCATTTTGATAAAATTTAACATGTTTCATAATGGCTCAACGCCCAATTAACAAATTCGTAGTTGATGTGTACATCAATCATATAACACCCTGAAAACACATCTCAATTTTCCAATATACATAGTATTGACACTCTACTCCACTGCCTTGGCTCTCTCCTCCATCTCTGGTGATCTGAAAGTCCTTAGAGGACTGCCTAATTCGCTAGCTAATAGTACATCAGAAGTGTCACCGGTTCAACTCTCTTTCACTAAAGATCCTGCCCCTCCAGGAGAGTTTCAACTGTAACAATCTGGCCATTTCCAAAATCTCCCCAATAAAGGATTCCTTCTCATATTCAACAAAACACCAGTTTTAAAACCTTACTTGAATAGGAATGAACATAAGTTTTTTAGAGAACACACTTTAAACTGAGACACCATCACAATCTACTTGAAAGCAGAAGATCCCAATAGTCCCCATGGAGCAAATTCTTAATACATGCATGAGCAGTGTGATATCATTTTATGTCAAGGAAAGTGGCAGTCACCAACCTGATTTAGCTTCCAGCACAAGGCGAATAGTGACAGCATGAGACCAGTGAATCCCTAAAGCTGGAACAAGATGAGAATCAAATCTTGCGGATTCCTCTATGGTGTCATCCCTGCTCTGCACTGCACAGATGAATTAATTGTCTTACTACGGGGGCAAAAGATTTCACAAACTAATTATGCTATGATACCTTGGAAAGCGTACTGGGAGATTTCATCACTGCATTGAGATCTAACTTGGTTAGTCACCACTACGGGAATTCGTGAAAATTCTGCAAGAGACCTAAACACAACAGATAAAGAAGTATCGCTTGAGGAGCACGGACAAACCATCCATAGTGAAGAAGTTTCACAAAACAAAGATAAGAGTTCAGAATATAACAGTTCTCACTTGATAAACGAAATATGCCAACCCAATGAATGTTGTCTCGGAGGTCCTTGCTCAAATTCCCTGAACAGAGAGTATGGTGAATATGTTGCTTAAACAGAAACACAAGCCAGAGGAAAAGGATATGTTGCATTAGAATTTCTTGTTTAAAATGTGTAAAAAAATGCACTGTTTTTGCATAAAATGGGAGATCCATACCAAAGTTGCATGGGTGTTGTTTAAAGAATGGATGTTTAATACTATGGTACATGAGTTCAGGCAACTAAATTTTTAGTGGATATGGACAACTTTCTTTTAAACTCTTTTAGCAGTTGAAATCAAGAGGGTAAATTTATTATAAAAAAATGTAGGACTTTCTACACAAGCAACATACTGGTAAATGAATTTGTGCAGTGGACGAGATCCTTATATTATTAATCAGATAGAACAAACATATCTAGTAGATGCAATGCAAATAACACATCTTGTAATCAGCCTTTATTGCATAGCTAGAACTAACCCCAAACAGTGAAAAATTAGATCCAAACATGAAATCTGTGTGCTCTGACTAATCCAATGAACTTGGATTGATAGTCTATCACTTCATCAAGTTGGCTCCAAAAGTGATATAAACCATCTCCAAAAGCATTTACTTCTGAACTCTCATCAATTTATTCATTCCTAGTTCTATCCTCGCCCAATTTATAAAATATCCATCTCAACATTCCCATTATGGCCATGCTAGTTTATGAACTTGTTTTTTAGATGCCAAACATTTAATCTGATAAAAAATGGTTGAGCTTTATCAGAAGCACTGCTCCACTAGCAAATTTTAACATCGTTTTGTGTCGTTGTAAAATGTCCAACATCCAATTTCTAAAAGCAACAAGAAGCGTATAACATAACACATCCAGAAACAAAAGCAGAATGGCTAATTAATAAGTTAATACTGCAACTACACAGTATGTTAGACAATTGATAACTAGAGTTGAGAAAAACAAACTTCAGTCAAATAGTGCAGAAGAAAGAGCTTGATCTTACCCTGAAACAACAGCTGTCATGCTATCAATGACAAGCAACTTCACTTGGTGCTGGAGGAGCGAAACCTTGATTTGCTGCAAGCTGGTGAAAAAGAAAACAACATATAATATTAAAAATTAATTGCAATAGTCTCTCAGTTGATAAGTCTAGAAAGAGTAAGAACAATGGGCTACTGGGGTTGGTTGACTTTAGATTGAGCTTGAACTTGAGCAGGGCTTGACCTGAGAAATTTTTTTCCTGTTCTTTCATTTGCTAAGGTTTGGCCAAACTCAATCTTGTTCATGAGCCTAATCAAGCTTGTCAAGTTTGTTCATTCACCTATTCATTCTAATTTCCATATCGAAAGATATTCAATTTCAATTGCAATTACAAGATACTCCAAGAGCTTATCCATTTTTTTGTCATATCTAAAAGGCAAGGTACTTTTTTCCTTTTTGTCACAGTTATTCTCTAATACCTTCAGAAAGTTGCTTAAGAATTGTTACCAAAGCCATATGAGTGTAGCGCCAACTTTTCATGAGGCCTCAAGTAAATCCCAATTCCAACAGAGTTAGTTTATGGAGCAATCTTGCCCAAAACCTAAGCTTGAGCTTGGTTGTGAATGGGCTTCTTAACAAGCCCAGCATGAGATGCTCATGTCAACATTACTTTCTTTATAAAACCTTGTCTGAACTTAAATTCAAGAGAAAAGTTTGATAAAGTCTCTAGGAGGTCATACCAGATAGTTCAAATATTCATATGTTAACTATGTAACAAACTGGGTTATCTAGACAACCCTCAAATCGAACCACATCACCCTTAAGAGGGTCTTGTCATAGACTCATAATCTTTGTGGTTCATGAGTGAAACATCTCAGCTGGCTCTCACATTGTCACTAATTACAGCTCCAAGTTCTCAAAATGTCCCATTTATATCTTATTATATTCACTCTAGGTTAAACACAAGAAGGCTCTCTAGTTCACACCTTTCAGTAAATTCAGCCAGTGATGACGGCTGCAAAACTAGGATCCTACCAGCCATCTGCAGTATAAATGAAAGTTACTCATTTTAGATGCTGAACATTCTTCCATAAGGTAATGATTCAAAGACATTAAGTACTAGACAAACATGATGCATACCTCTTGTGCCATTCCTTCCATGTGAAATATATCTGGGAAACTACTAACTCCAATTTCTATCATCCTGAGAAAGGCAGATTTTACAGTTTCAGTCTATTGCATGTCACAAAATTTGAGATTTAAATAAATATCACAAACCTGAAATAAGTGATGTCAGAAAAGCATGGCCCAGATACCTTCTTGAACTAAATTTGGACTCCACGTCAACATAAATTACACGGCCCTCTAAACCTCCAAACTTCGTAGGCAATGAAGCAAGTAATGAAAGCTTCATGCAAAACTGCAATTTTCAAACAAAATGGAATGGAGAATCATATGATTATGTGTATAACCATTATATACAATTGTATCACACTAGCATGTAAAAACAATTATGCAAAACCTTAATCATGCAAATTAAGAATTATTGCTCGACTAAATCAACAAAAAATGTTAAGAACTTTGTCAAAGGGTGAAGCAACATATCATAATCACAAGAGTAATTTCACAATTTTTTAAATTACTAAAAAACAAAAACTGATAACCCAGTCCAATATGATGGAAAGGATGGCCTTGTCATGGTCAAGCACTGAATGTAGCACATCAATAAAAAAAACGAAAAGTTTATTAAAGCATTCACTTTGTTAATAGTTATCATACCTGTGTTTTGCCAATTCCTGCAGGACCAACTAACTCTGTCAAAACACCAAAGGGTATTCCACCACATAAGACCTCATCTAATCCTTTCAGACGTGTGGGAAGATGGCCAGAGAGGTATTCATTTTGGATGCACTGCTCCAGTAATGATAGTGCCTAGACACACAAGTCAAACAAAATGAAACGACATAATTGCTGCACTCTTTGGCCCTAGGAAGCAAAGTCGTCTTTTTTTTTTTTGTTCCTAATACTAACATATTACACTTACAGTTTGATAAGGTGGGCTTGAAATTTCACTGACTTGTGCAACTGCAGTTGTAACTTCTGCAAACCCGACATCTAACAACTCCATCAACTCAAATTCAGTTAACGACAACACATCCTGGAAGGAAATATTTTGAATATTAACACAGTGGGTGAAACAAAGTCTTGTTCATTGAGAACCCAGAAAATTAGTAAAACAGTTCAATCCATTTGACAAATCAAATCAAATGATTGATGTATTCAAATAATAGGAAACATAAGTTTCCAGAGATCAAATTTAGAGATGAGTTTGAATTTGGGCAATGGAGACTCCAAATTTGTGTAATGGAAATGACTGTAGTATTTTATTGTCTACTCAACACAACCAAGGGACTTGTGCCTTTAACATCAAGAGACCATCGGGTACCACCTGCCCTGCAAGGCTAGTGGTATAAACAGAATAATTTTGTGATTATTCAATTTATCATTTCTCAAACATCCTATGAAGCATGGATATGGATATGGGATACATAATAGGGATACTACACGAATATTGCGATATGACAAAATCTAAAATAACAGGAAACCAATATGACCATAATACGTTGAAAAAAAATTATAATCTTTAGTATTATAAAGAATAGTGAGAAACCAGTCTTCAGGAATTAGATATTAGTTTAAGAGCCAAGCCAATAGTCAGTTTACTTTTTTCAATGGATATGTTAGTTTGATAAAAAATTTAAAAAGTAGAGTACTATTTTCTTCTTCTCTAAGAAATAAGAAAATTGTGCAAAACTATTATTGTATCTATTCTAACAATTATATTCTAATAATATACAAAAACTATTAAATCTCAATTTCATAATAGTTTGGACACGTGACCTAAAGTGTCCGAAAAGTATCCGATATTTCTCAAAATTAACATCAAGTATCGGATACATTTAGAAAGTATCATCTACGTAATCTCCGAGCATCAATACTGGTACAATACAAATACAACTCCTTTTTAGAAATATCTCTGCTTCATACCAACCATCTCATACTTATATATAGAAAAACCACTAACTCATGCAAATAATATACATTAATATACCTAGAATCTTTGCACCTAGCTACCAGGTGAGGTGTTCAAGTCTTGCAACAGGCAAGGCTCCTCTCCCCATGTTATGGCCTCCAATGGCCTGTTTGGTGCAGCTTAGGGTTAGAGTTTAGGGTTTAGAACATAGAAGCTCATTAATAATTTAGGTAAGTTTATTATTGTATAGGAAAGCAGTTAGAAAATTTATTTTATAGCTAATTCTGTTCAATAAAAAATTATTATAAAGTGGATATTTATAATTTTCAAACCACAGGGATAATCTATATTTTAAGTATATGTGAGAGGTGTATTCCCCCCCCCCCAAAAAAAAAAAAAAAGTATGCATTAATAACACATTTGGCACTAGTTCTCATTTTCATGGAAAATACTTGAGACCCCCACTATTTTTGACCCCATAACCCCCAATTGATTTGTGGCCACATATTATGTTTTGTTTTTTGTTTTTTTGTTTTTTTGTTATTTTTTTCTCTCCTCTCTCTCCTCCCTCTCTCTCTCACAAATGTGTGGGGTGCTGGGGGTCTGGATCATTTCCCTCATCTTCATATCCAACAATGATGACTGGAAAAAAAAATAAAAAAAATTCCAGTGGTTGAACAGGATTGTTTGTGTGAGAGACAATTCTGGGTAACTCCTGTTGTCTGTAGGCAATGAGGGTTTCCCAAGAAAAACCCAAAGCAATCAAACATCAATGTGGGGTTACTAATTTAATTAACAGGCCTCCTGGTAACTATGATTGAAAATCCAAAAGAGTGACTGGCTTGTACTTAAATTAAACCATAAAAAAGGCAAGAATTCAATGAATTACAGAAAATAGTATTGAGATACGGATTGAAGAAAATGAAGCTTGGTAAGTAATTAGGGGAGGGTTAGTTACCTTGGCAGTTAACAAGTTACGAGCTGTGAAGATGTTGGTAATTGATTTGGGCAGACCCATCTCACTGAGGACCTTGTTCGCCATCTCTCTCACCCAGAGTGAGCACTCCCCCTCTCTCTCCCTCCTCCCCCACACTTGTTTACGGAGGAATACTGGGAGGGTGGGCTCCAAACTAGCTGAGCCGAACATTTTTTTGTTTTTTTGGTTTACGGAGGAATATTACGGGGAGGTTTAGCTGCAAACGAGTGGAGTCGATTTTTTTTTTTTTATTTTTTTTTTTTTAACAAAGGAATAAAAGGAGGTTGGGTTGCACATGAATAGAGTTGAATTTTTTTTTTTTTTGTTTTGTTTTTGTTTACAGAGGAATATTAGGAGGTTGGGTTATAAACGAGTTGAGTCGAGCTGAGTCAAGTTAAGTTGTGTTTTTTTTATTTTATGAAAAAATATTAGGAAGTTAGGTTGCAAACGAGTCGAGTTTTACTGAGCTTAAGCTTGATTTGTTGCTCATTTGTTAAGCTCGAACTTAACTCGTTAAGTAGCTGGTTCGAATTTGGCTCGACTCGTTAATATTAATATAATTCAAGCTCAGCCTGATTCAACTCAATAAGATTTTTTGTAATATTATTTGAATAAAAATATTGTTTATATTATTATATATATTATTCAATAAATATAATAATATATTTATTATATAATTTAAATAAAAATAATTGAATCGAGTTTATTTAAGTTTGAGCTTGGCTAGTTTAGTAAACAAGTTGAGTTGAGTTGAGCCCTTAACGAGTCAAGCCGAGTCAAGCCCAGCCAAGTTTATTCGTACTCGATTCATTTGCAGCCTTCCTAGCAACCCACCTTATCATGGAGAATAGCTCTCATTCTTATTTCTTTGTATTTAATGTTTGGGTTCCAAGTTCATAATAATAATAATCTAAATTGTTGATCTTTTGTTAAAATTGTCTTATAAAAAATTAACTTCATGAGATAAGGATAAATATGTAAATAAATTAAATTTTATTTTATAGAATGAAATGTTTAAATTTAATTCACAATTATTTTCTATTTTTAAAAAATAGGGTAAATTATTTATAAGTCTTATTTGGAAGACTTATACAAGATATGGTCCTATAAAAAAACTTATAACCCAATAAGTCCTATGGTTTTTTTTATGGATACATCTACTCCCAATCTTAATTAATTAATAACCTGATTAATAATAATACTATATATGAGAAATCCAATATTACCATAGATTGTGATCATATCTATATGGTTAGAAATTTGAAATTCAAAATAACATAATTAATGGCAATATCAAATGTGGGAAATCCAATATTACCATAAATTGTGATCATATTTATATGGTTAGAAATTTGAAATTCAAAACATAAATATAACATATAACATCTCAAACCTAATGTGACATTCTCAAACCCAGCATGATATTCTCATATGCTTCTAAAATTTAAAATACTTGATTATCGGTAATACCATATATGGGAAATCCAATGTTACCATAGATTGTGATCATATTTATATGATTGAAAATTTGAAATTCAAAACATAAATGTAACATATAACATCCCAAACCTAACGTTATATTCTCATATGCTTCTCATCCCAAACCCAACGTAAATGTAATATGTAACATCCTAAACTCACCGTGACATTCCCATATGCGTCTCATCCCAAACCCAACGTGACATTCCAATACTCCACTGTTGAATTATGATGTAACATGTAACATCCTAACTTAACCCATGTATTGAACCACCATCACCTCTAACCCAGCATAACTTCAACATCAAGCGACGAAATTCAGTCCACATTCAATTACAAACCCAAATCCTTAATAATTTTGCGCAACGTACAGTGACATATATGTAAACACTGATTGCAACAAAGACACGATACACATTCAAACACTTATACAACTGAACAAACACACAAATGTCATCTACTATATAGTATATGTAGATTAACATTACATACTAAATATAACATGCATCGTAACACGATCATCTAGGTCCCAATGTACAATTGACATCCTATGACATGGTTCACATTCGATATCCAATTAACATCCAAAACCAAATATCCCCAACCCAACTCTTGAACCCATACAGACCACTCATACATCGACCATATCAAAACGCATCAATTATCACAATGTCAAATATACCTATTTAATCAGAATATTGGTCAAAGTGTACCTATTATTGAGTGTAATAGATTGTCAATGCCCTATCAAATATGAACAATCCACACTTTAACAAACAACAACACACTTCAATAAAAAAAATAAAAATAAATAAATAAACATACATCTTCCCTTTAACTGATTGGAGTCGAAATTTGTCGAAGGAATCAACACATAACCCCCAAATTTCATCATATCAATGACCATATCCATATCTATTTAAGCAACATTTTGAAAATGTATTAGAATCCCGTGATCAAGGTGAAGCAAACACACACGGTCGTTACTTGTAAACTTGACTTTCTTAAATGCTTTCCCAAATGTGATATGATAAATGAGAAAATAACGTACGATATGAAAACAAATTAGGGGTATAATAGTACATTGATATCATTCATTTACAACTCATAAGACTTTATGGAACACATTCCTATTTAAATAGGATTTCAAACTCTAAAAGAATATTCATAGGACTTCACATTAATAAGTCTTCCAAATAGGATTTATAAATAATTTTTTCTAAAACATAAGATGTAATTTAATCATGTATCAATGATATTCTAAATTAATTTTTTACATAACTCATCTAAATTGTTAGAATTGCGAGATAAACAGTTTAAATTATCATTATAAGCCTAGAATCTAACCCAAAAAATGAAATATGGAATGGTATGGAGTATAAGAATACAGAGGGAAGCCATCTTCCTTATCAATCCAGAAATTACCTAGAATCTTCCTTGATTTATTCTATGTATAGATCCCATATCACACAAAACACCTACAAAAAAAAAAAAAAAAATCACTTTTTTTTGGTCCACGAAAATTTTGAATGGTTAACTTTGGTTTTGAGAGCTCGCTCTCTCTCTCTCTGTTTTTATTTATTTATTTAATTTTGGATGACAATTTTTTATGAGCAAGACTCCCATTCATACTTTTATCCTCTATATTTTTTTAAAATTTTATTTTGTGAGTTTTATTCTAGGTTTATATTGATAATCTAAACTGTTTATTTTTTAATCTTAACAATTTAGATAAGTTATATAAAAAATTAATTTCATTGGATATCACCAGATATATGAATATATTGCATATTATTTTTTAAAATGGATAGTAATTGTGTTTAAACTTAAAATTTTCATTCTATAAAATACAAGCGATTTGTTTATGTATTCATTGATATCCGATGAAATTGATTTTTTACACAGATGGTCTTCATTGTGAAATTTATAAGATGAATGGTTTAAATTATTATTGTGGGCCTAGAATGGAGAAAAAAAAATATGGAGGAGAGTCAAACCCATTTTTTTATTTATTAAATATATTTACATTTATATACAATAGTGAGAATATTTTTAAAAAAAATGAAGAGTAAAAAAATAATTACAAAATAATGAGGATACAAATAACTTAAGCATCCAATTGTGCAAATAAATCATTATTTGGAATTTGTTTTTAACATTTCACTTATTTAAAATTCTCCCTTATAATATGTATATTGAGAGGATAATTTTTGGGAAAATTGGGCCGAGCTGCGAGTTGGGCGTTGAGGCCCAAAACACGAAGGACTAGGTAAAAAGGCCGTAATGGATACTCCGGCCCAGGAGAGTAATGTTACTCCGACCTTGGGGAGACAAGGTTACTTCGGCTCACAAATGATGAAGTTACTTCGGCTAAAGGAATGGCAAAGCTACTCCGGTCCGGTGGCAACTCGGAGTTAGGCCGGTCTCAGGGTTAGTCCGGTCACAGTATGTTCTTTCGAGGCCGGTTTCGAAATTAGTCCGGTCATGACTTACAACGGTTAGGTCGGTCAGAACTTGTTACTTGGAAGTTTGATCTAAGCACACCAAGGTTGAACAAGGCAGCCGAAGTAAGGAGTTAGAGGAGAAGACCGAGCTAAGGATAGTTCGGCCCTCTGTGGCTCGGTATAGCCAATTTTACTTCGGTCAAATGAAAGTTCGGCCATAAAGAAAACCATCCCACTTGGTTTAAGCAGTGGGAGAGGGTGTAAAAGGATAAGCATTATCCTTGGGAGAATGAATCCTAGGAGGACTCTGCATGGAGAAATACAAGTCCTACTAGGATTGTGCCACGGGAAACTTATAAAAGCTCACAAGCATCACCTTGGAGGAGGTAATTGAACACAACCTTTTAGAGAACATAAAACTTTGTCTATTTGTCAAGCTTACTGACTTAGGCATCGGAGAGGTTTCCGGCACACACCCGCCGGCTAGCTCACGTTTGTGTTTTCAGGTGACAAAGCGACGTCGTACGGAGGAGCGTGGACTTGGTCAACAGGATTATACGAGGAGAATTATTTCCTCCCCGTACATATATAATATAATTTTTAATGGAATAATATTAAAATATTATGCTAAATATTTATTTTCACTCCTTCATTTATTATTTTATATTTTATATATTTTAATTTTTATTAATTATAATTTATTATCCGTAGTATGTTATATTATTATTTTATTTTTAAAGTTACCAAATTAATTCACTCCCGTTCCTACCATACTTGATTGGGCTCCAATAGACATACTTGATTGGGCTCCAATAGCCGATAAACTCACTCCAAACCTACTCCCTTGCTATCCTACTAGAGATTTTTTTTTAAAAAAATTAGGATAAAATGATTTTTTTTTTTAAAAAATATAAAATTTAATTTTTTTTAAAAAAATTAGGATAAAATTTAATTTACCCCCTTATGGTTTAAGGCAAAAGCACTTTACTCTCTATCATTCAAATATAGTCAGAAACTCTCTATGTAATTTTGGATCAAAGTGCAACTGCCAATACCGTAAACTATAGATGTGAAAAGACTATAATACCCTCAAATCCTATATTCCTTTTTTGTTTTTCTTTCTCTCTCCTTTCTTGTACACATAATTTATAATGTGTAACATTAAATCAATTAAATCACTATACTTATAAATTTTCAATTATTTATTGTAATTCTTAACTTTTTTATTCTAATTTTAATTTAATTATATTTTAAATCACAATTAATGTTAAATATTTAATTATTTATTGTAATTCCTTACTTTTAA